TCAGCTGTATCCGCAGCTGCAGTTGTTTTACAGATCACGCTATGAGACACGCAAGCGCTACCATGCTCGAACAAGACCACCATCATGGGCTACCATTGCGAGAGAAGGAAACGAATGGCATATGTGCTGTGGTCCGCACACCTCGTGAAGACGGACCGTCCAAGTATCCAAGTGAGTAAGTATATACTTGATAGCGATAATGGAAACCACTTTAGGAACTCTGCATGGGCTTCACTGAAGCCACCATATTCGAAGCAGATCACTGCGGTGGATAACGATTGGGTGTGAGTAATACAGACGAAATTTATGTTGGAATCAATACACAAGCATATGGTAGCGACAAACGCAGTGGTAGTGATGGCTTTCGTGGCTAAGCATGCCAACTACCAAAGGCACTGGGTTAACCGAGTCCTAGGCCACCAAGCTTTCCATTCCTCTTAAGTTAGGTAATTGGTAGCGGGCTTGCCTAAGACTAACCCACATCCTCGAATCTATGTAAGAACGCCCTAGCGAGACTATCTGAGGATTATGGGAAGACGAACATTGAAGATCATTCATAACGAAGACGAAAGTCCCTAAACAACAGCTGAGTCCACATGCGAATTGGAAGACATGGATTATGAAAGCGAAAAAGGATGAGGAAATGCTGGCGTCCGCACAATATTTGTGAGGTCTGTGCATGTGAAAAAATAATATGATTAATTTTCTTTAATCGCTGAATAGTCGCTTGAGTGTTGAAGATTTAATGCAGTGTTATTGAATAATAGTGTAATCTCCCATGGTAACAGCTGTGATAGTAGTCCCAGTATCTAAACGGTCGATACCACAGATGACTAGGCATGCGTGTTCCGATGATACAAATATTTGTTATAGCCGCGAGGCACATTTCTTGGCCAAAAGCTGATCCTGTGATTCGATGCAGCAAAGGTCGCCCCATCTTTCGTAATAAAATTTAATACCAATTGGTAAGGGTCTCGTTCGAATCTCTGCACGTTTACGGATGAAGCAACTCGGCCTAGATGAACCTAGCCAAGCTGTGCCTGCGGCAATAATAAGAATAATAAAAAAGTATTATTATTACAGCTATCCTTCCAAATTTAGCTTACGAGATGGTGAATACTAGCATAACCATGTTAACTTTTTATTCACTGCCTGTTACCATTTTCGCGACAGGATATAACGTGAAATACAACGACTGCGATGTTGGAATACTTGCAAAATGAAAATAAAAGTGATGCCGTTCATAACACATGTGCCTCCGTAAATGGTAACTACGGTCCGATCTGGCCTGGGGTCCAACTCTTGCAAATATTTCTGGATCGCAGTGGTTATATTTCACTAGAATCACCTTTTAACAAGTCGGTAGTGCGAATAGCTTCTGACTACCTAAAATTCAGATTACTTAGGTGCTTATGAGCTGTATTGTTGGGCTGTTATCACGTTTTCCTTCTGACTTTGTTAGACGCCGGTGAAGAATTTGGTGATAATCATTCCGTTGAGCTCAAGCTCACTAGGAGCGAAATTTTCCCTTAAGACCACAAAATTACGTTACTGGATAGGATTTGCTTTTTTGACTAATACTTGTTGTTACAATACGACGCGGTTAGAATGAGGAGCGTATATAGATGTCTATTAATGACCCACCGTCTTTTGTTACTTTATTGCAATTTCCACATAACACCTTCGAGAGGATAAGAAGTAATTTAGTGGGCATGCTTTTCAAAACTCTCTATGTTGGTGATGATGCCACTAAATTAAAACATGAGGCATACCACTTGTGGAGATGCTGTGCAGGTTATGAGGGATCATCCGGTTCCAATTTTTTGTGCAATTTTAACGACGTGTACGCTGTCTACGTGTTAACAGCCACGAGTTGTGTATCACCGAAATCAATCCAGCTGTCCAGCCCTAGAACTTCTAGGGACATTTAGGAGGTAAGGAATTTTCAGATAAACTTTTTGTTGTGTGATATTTCTTTTGTTCAAAAACTATCATTTTTCTAGCTTCTTCGTTTTCACGACCATTCGCTGTCGTAGAAGTCCAATCACGTCCGTTTTTTTTGGATCATAACTATATTTCTACCCGTTTAGATAATTTGATGGACATTGTCATGAGTGTGGATACAGTAAAAGTTTTATCCTACTCTTGTCTAGGTTGTTACGGATTTTTTTTCTTGATATCTTAAAATAGCCATAAATTCCACGGTATTCATTAAAGTGATCGCCTAAAATTGTTACCGAGAAAGAAGCATAGCGCCTGTGAATATCTTCGTCATTACTACAGCAATCTTTGAGTTAATACACTGTTAAATATGGTGTTGTCCAAACCCTTCTTTATTCTTAATAACCTTGCCTGGAGAAGCACATAGTCCACCAATTCTACACTTATAAGCAACCCTATTGTTACAGCATAGGAGTAAGCCTTCGTTCACCTCAATGATTTGCGCCTAATCGCGGCCGACAGATGACCTTAAAAATGCGATGTGCACTGAAGAATAATTTCTAGCAGAGCTTCTTAGCGCTTCCGTATTACATCTAGAAACACAAGTGTGTTTAACGAACGGAATTATTCAGCGCACTTCTTGTAATAACTTTAACTCAAAAAAGTACAAAAAGAGGATCGTACGAGATTCTTTACGCACAGCAGGGACAGTGGAGTTTACCAGCGTTAATGGGCCAAAAAGCTATTCGAATAAAATTTTCGTGTAACCTCGTGATAACCCGTCAATCTAAAGAAGTACAGCATGAGTGACCTCAAGATGACGATCGAGATTCTTCACTCTCTCTCTTTGTCTCTCTGGTAGTATGGTATGGTAGGTTCTCAATGGAGGGCCTTCTTGGAACTACTATCACTATGTATTTAACAGGTCACTGTAACTTCAGTGCTGCTCTAACGATATAATCTCTTCGCTAGCCCAATATTAGGTCGAATTAACCTTGCCACTGTGATGGTTACCAGCAATTTAGGGCTCTATAAGTTAAGGAATGAAGGATTACAATTCGACACTAAGCTCGTCGTTATCTTTCTCAGCAATCGCGAGGTTTTTGAACATGATACGTTTACTTCCATACAGTAACACACATGCAACACAACCGTAGCGGACGTTTCGGTTGAATCGCCTTCTTCAGGGCGTAGAAGGGTACACTAATGCGCAACTTACTAGGTCAAACGCTTCAACACCACAAACAGAAAGGTGAAAATTTGAACGATAATTACAAGATCAACGGCTTCTCGAAAAACTCACCGCTTTTTTCACTTGTCTTCCACCGAGGAGGAACAGCCGGGAGACATGGTTGACGACTGCACCACCCCCATCAACGACCGATACGAAGGTACGGGGGGAAAGCACGTGTGATCTAAGGCATTCCTCCCTGATATTCATTGTAGGATTTTCGGCATTTATCCAAAAAGCCTCAAGGAGTTTGTGCGTTTGTGTTTTATGATCCCGTGCGAGGATAGCAACTTTTACATCAAAATCACCTCCGCTGTGTTTTTGTATCCTATGCGTCCCTAGTAGCGCACTCAGTCTTGCCCTTCATTGTCCATCTAAATGTTCTTTTATGGGAATACATAGTCTGCTCGTCTCGCCAATATATTTATCTTCGCAAGTACCATAAAAGAGCTGGTATATCGTTACTGAACTCATGCAATCACCTTCCCTGCCAAAAGGCAAACTACACGATTCTGTGTTTCACATGGACGGTCATACAGCCAGTTGCAAACTAACTGACGACGTAGAGTATCCGGTGGTGCTTCAACTATGGCTACCGATTTTTCTAGATCTGCCCTTTTTAAACATTGCTTTATCGCTGCGCTTATCTCATCGCTAATAAAGGGCAAGACGAACGAGATTTTGTGTCGGCCAAACCGTTCGTTTCGGGGCATCACTCTCTTTCGAAGCTTATCTCGAGGGGTTACTATTTCGTAACCATTCGAGATAGCTACTTGCCGAGCCAAGTCGCGCGATTCTTCTTTTAGCTTCCTACTTGTGCACACAGAGGTGGACGTTCGAAACGTTTCCCACAAGCGCCCTCTTTGTGTGTGAAGGGTGGGAGGGAAGGAAGTGAACCAGCATGTTTTTGTTGCTTGGTTATCGGTACCACTTTGTCATGTAATCGCTACTTGATAGGTCTATTTGAACGTTTAGAAACGGAAGCCAGTTTTGTTTCGGTTTCTCCCGAGTGAACGTAGTGTGCTCAGAGTGCTTAGTCATTTCAGTAATACAAAGTTTGTTCATATCCTCCTGCGTAGAGAAGACGGAAGAACAATCGTCTATATATCTGCAGTAGAGTAGTAGTCGGAGATCGAAAACTGGGGCATCTATCTTAGATATAAACACAATGGCAAAGCTTGGTGCCAGTCGTTCTCCCATTGCCAACCCCCTTATTTGCGCGAAATGTTTTCCAGACTATCTGAAAATCGAGCAGTTTAGGCACTCCTTTAAGAAAGTCACATGCTGCTAGATGGACAAGCCATGCATGTTTATTCTTCCTTCATGTTCAGCACGAAGTTCGAAGATGGCTTGCAATGCGGAGTCATTCGACACGTTGGTGTACAGCACGGCAACGTCGAAGGACTCCATCACGTGCGCGTTATTAGGAGTAAGCATTTACAAAGATTGATTCCACCAATAGCTGTAGAAACCTTCTTAATCCGCTTTACATTCCCTAAGTTAGTAATTATAGCTAAAATGACAAGAACATGAGCAGAATCCTAGCTGCAGTGCACTATGGTTATCTGTCGTAGGAGTTTTTGGGAAAAGTCTACCTTCATCTTCCTTCCTCACTCTGTGCTCTCGAGCTCTAACGATTGTCTAAAAACAGTTACAAAGTGAACTATGTTCTGCAGTGTAGTGAATGAAAGAGAGAGGTGATGAGTAGTAAAATAGGATTACACGTGCTTCATATTTCAACATGGTCATTACTTGAACCAGTTTTTACAAAAATCATTTGTAACAAAATTTTATCACAACCGAAAATGAATGCATTGACTGAATGCACTCAGATGGTGGTTTGTCTCTCAACTTCGCCAACGAATAGCTTAGGAGTAGGTGTGGATAAAGAATCGGTCATTTGCGAGTTGTTCTCTTCGTCTTCTAAAGAGATTTGCTGCGGTATCTGGAAGAGAAAGTGCATAAATAAGAGCAAGGAATACTACGGAGAAATTTTTAACCAGTAAATTCCACGTCAAAATACGCTTCAAGGTAGGTTTTGTAGAAAACCTTATACCTGTATTATACGATGAATAGGTTTAGCGACCCGGTTATTAACCAGATAAGACGGTCTTCGTGACAGCGACTTTGAAGGGTCCTTCGCGCTCTTGTGTTTCCAGCTGGAACTTTGTAAAGTCGGTTTGGGAAACCATCCAGTGTGTGGACGACCAGGAGCATTCGACTTCAGACCGTTATTTTTGTCGGTGATTCTGAATGGTCTAGAATAGTTGAAGCATTTAGTTGGATCAAGATTCTTCACTTAGGCCGTCCTCGAAAATTTTCTGTCATTTTGCTAAAACCCTAGAAAAGTTCTTTCGATGCAAGCTTAGATTATCCGTTCACGAATGCCGTCTGAAAGTAGAATATCTTTGGTCACTGAATTTAAAAACTGTTACCTATTACTTGCTTGGTCTTTTTCTGAGAAACTTGATGAGTGGTTGCTTACACCTGAAATACGAAGATATATAAATGCATTCTTGATAATACACATTATTTTTTGTCTAGGAAGTTTATAAATGATGCAATACGGAGCGCGTGAATCGCAATCCCGATCCTAACATCTGTGTCAGATCGTGGATATTTTGTGCCACTACTCTATATCCATAAATCAGCCGCAAGATATTACGTTGATTCTAATGAGATTGGTAGAAAATTAGAACTTTAAGCAAAAAACAATTTGTGAATAAGTTTATTTCCACGGCGTCTACAATGCTGTTTATGTGATGAAACGGTATTAAACTGACATCAGCAAGAGTTCCAAGTGGTTGGAAAACGACGACGTTTTACTTACTATAGTCCGACTGCGGTCCTTTCAAATGTAAAGTCTCCACGGTTAGAAGGGCAGCCTTAGGTCACATAAGGTGAGGTGTCTTGCATCCATTCCCTGTTTAAATTCTGTCCAAAAACTAATTCTAGGAATTGCTGCCTTTTGATATATGTTCGTACACAGTGTGGCCAATCCTCCGATAGCTGAGTGGAGAAGTAATGTCACGGATTTCTTGAGACCCAGTTAGAAAATCTTGCCAAAGCGATACTATATCAGTTAATAACTTTAATAAAAATAAATAATAACTGCATGTCCCCTCAGCGGTTTACCGCCTCATGGTGGCTGAGAGGTGTTTCTGGAATCGGGCTGCGATAAACATGGGGATTCATCAGCCAGCAGGGGCTTTCCAAGCCGAGAAGACGTCTAGCGTTTCTACCAGGAAACCCAGCTAAGAGTAAAATAATGCCAGGATCCACCACTGTCATGATATCAAATTAGTCGCATGGTGACAGATCTCCCTCTGATCCACAGGGCGGCAACTGCTTGCGGTGATGACGATTTGGGCAAACTTTGGCTAAGCCGACCTCGGAACTCTACGGAACCACAGTGGCTGAGCCAGCAAAACCGCGTAAAGTAGAAATTATTCTGGGGCCTACACAAATAGTGAAGATGTGCCATCCAAGGTTTTAAGTAATTAATAACTGCATGTGCTAGGTCAAACGATTCATCGTGAAGATGAGACACTCAGTAATCAGGTAATAGCACTTTTTTTAAAAGTTCTTGCACGGAATATTCACTGGAAGCTCCAAATAATTTGATACTAGTACATGTTTCCTGAAACGTTCACCTGGTAAGAGCTCATATTTAGGTGGACGATGTACATCGAGCGTGTCGAGGTATTGCTCAATAGGGTCATCATTTAGTGATGTTTGTGAAGTGGAATATGTCGGTGAATTCGAATAAGGGAGGTGATTCAGCCATGATGTTTTTTGCCTGAAAGCCAAGGTTGTATTATTCATGGAACTATATCGTGTTGTTATGAGACCATACCTCTCTTCGATACTTTGTTGAGCACCTACACCAGGATCGGCATAACTAGCTTTCATCGACGGTGATTCACAGGTATCACAACAAGATGCCATGCATTTGTAGCACCTTTCCATACTGGAAGAACAGAATAGTAAGTATAATATTTGCAATGAAATAAATCACAAATCACAGTAAAGAAGTTTTTCTAAGCATTTTCGGTACTCAGGAAAGGCACCAGTATTTTTCATATCCGGAAATTAAGCACTGTTTAAAACGAGAACGTTCATTCAATAATTCTAAAATTCCATGTCAGCAATGTTGATACGAGGGGGCGGATAGCACAGTGATAATGATGACCGTCGTACCGAACATGTTGTAAGTTCTATTCCGCTCCTGGCCAACCAAGCATCTCATCCCTCCAGGGTCGGAAAAGTGGTACCGGACCTGTCTGGGAAAAAATCACTCTGTGCCATCCAACTGGGAACGCTTCAGCCCAGCTATCTCAGGACTCCAGGGAGAATTTCTCAAACAGCATTCTACGATATTCAAGATAAAATGAAAATACTCAAGCAGCAACCGAAGCTAGACGTAAAAAGTTGGAAGATCTTCGTGGGTAATCGATGTGAAGAAACGAATTGAATGCCAGAAGTGCTGGGATCGGTAGAGTAGACGTGAAGACGGATCATATAAAATGAAAGAACTATGCTGCTGTATAAGCTGGTTTGTGAAAGCCCAATAGAACAATATTTTCTCAAATTCATTGGCGATCGAGATTCAACGCCTACTTACTAATCTGCTCTCGTTCTACGGCAAAATTGTGACAAAGTGGGATGGTATTACATACCCCATTGAAGTAAAGTAATGTACCAGTATTGATAAGTTCCACTACGCTGTTCAGACCGTTCATGTAAATTAAAAAAGGAAAAGTCTGGCCCCTGCCAGAACTGACAGCTGTAATAACGCATTTTTGAGGGCCGACAATACGTTACGTTAAAAAAAATTCTCACTGTTAGACATCGTTATGGACCCCCTTTCCTGAGCTATACACCAAAGTTAAGCCGGTATCTTTCATGTGGTGTGTTCTTAGGTAGCAGATAAAACGCTAAACGGCGATTTAAAGCGATGTTGTGCTTTCCTGAGTTCTCGGTGGGTCCAGGGAATAGCCATCTATTTCTGCTGCATCTATTTTAGATACACTTTTTATGTTAGCTTTGACATTTTCGTGCATATGTGCTTTTTCCAATACGCAGATTGTGTTTGTCAAGGAGTCAGCAACGTTACTGTCCTCATCAACAAAAGTTTGATCATAAACATACACTCTTTTGGAAAACTAACAGTACTAATCTGACGTTTAGAATTGAAGAGATATCGCCAAACACTGGTTTCAAGAACAATGTTCGCCGCACCAACAATGAGCGATGATAAAGGAAAGGTAAAGCGCTCAACGTGACTTCGAGAAGTCTTACAGGGAAATCGACATCCCGCTTAAAGTTATCTTTGGAGATTTTACCGCTAAGACTGGACTCGGAAGAACCTCTGAAGGCTGTCTCATGGAGATCCACGGATTAGAATGGGATTAATAGCCAGAGAGTCTGTAAAAATTTATCACGATGACCATAACGAATCGTGGTAGCTCACAATTCCAGAATCCGCATTACCATCGCTAGCACGATCTCACGGAAAAAACTACAGTGAGCTAATTTACATAATATTAGATCAAAGATTTTGCCCGAGTCCCACTATCTCTTTTTTCGCGTCTTCTTTCTTTTTTGCGGAAAGGGGAGAAAGCAGCAAAAAAAGAAGCAATTCCCGAAAATCACCATAAATAGGGATTTATTTAAACGATTGGTTGCACTTTAAAAAGATATCTTTATCGACAGCAACGATGAAAAACACGACAGGGTAATCTTGTTTTCAGTGGTAGAAAGCCGAGAGTGGAAAAGTCACCCAGAAACGTGGATCTCCTGAAGTAGTTGAGAAAATATGTCTACGTGAGCAGCACCAGTCGTGGAACATCCCCAACTCAGGTCCGAATTTGAAAAATTCCACTGAAAGTCGATAAAAGAGGGTCTTAAGGAAATGTCGGAAAAACCTATTGGCAACGAATCTGGAAACTTTTCCGGTCAAAATACCAATAGATCAAAACCCGATGTTGGTTGAAACACCTACTCCTATTAGGAAGGCTTTAGAGAAGAACATTCACGATTACTACTTGAATCTCTCCAATAGCCACGGCCTTCCACACTCTATATGAAATAAAGAGAATGAATATGCCATCCACCGGTTTTCTTTTCCAGAATCCGAAATATTATTTCTTCAGTGAGGAATCGAACAACACTTGGCCCGCATAGAAAATGAATCGAACATCTGAAGAATCTTCTGCTGGTCCTCATTAACACATTGGCTCCTCTTTTCAGGCTACAGTTGTCAGAATAGCCTCCTAATTAATGGAAGAATAACGAGACAGTGCTGCTGCAAAAAAGTGGAGACCTCTACGACATCGGCAACTATCGCCTAATCTGCTTGCTCTCTTTCGTCTACAAACTCTTCGCACGAATCGTCCTGATCAGGATTAACAGAACACTAGACAAAGTACAGCCATGTGAGGAAACAGCGCAAACTCGAACACGACTCAGTAAGACAAAAGGCATCCACACTGTTAAGAGACCAACAGAAAGCTTACCACTAATAGGCTGAAAAAGATATTCGATTCAGTTGAGACAGAAATAGTCATGGAAGCTCTCGACAGGAATGGCTCACCCACTTAGCATACGAAGATTCCCCGTGAGCTACACAAAAGTTTCAAAAGCAAAATATCACCATATCAACGTGACTAACACCAACGTAAAGCGAGAAGTTTGAAGAGGGAATAACATTTAGCCAAAAGTATTTACGGCTACCTTCGAAAAAATTAGTGAAACTGAATCTTCATGGCTTTTTTTTTTGATGAAACAGCACCTAAAAGATTGAACGTTAAGCAGGCCAAACGAATGCTGGCCGACTTCGGTAACATTCATGAGAAACGGTCTGATGTTTCATATATGCTAAACAGAATGAATACCTCTAAATGGTCCAGGTGTGTGTACTTGGTTCATTACTCAGAATGTTAACACGATGGACAACTTAGCGCAAAAATTGAGAAGGACTACGCGAGTGGTTTGAAAAACTTTCAAGAGCATCGAGAGTATAGTGAAGAGGGCATAAAACAGTCGCCCATATTTCAAATGTAGCTACGTAAGGAGATTAAAAGACTAGTGAGCGCTACTGAGCGTCTGATAGTCGATAGGGGAACGCAGGGAGATTCCTTCAGCATACAACTGAGAGAATGAATGCAAGGGTCTGATCTAATGTAGCAATCTGTTATCAAAATTACCGCTTGCTACTATAAAATATCGAGAATAAGATTGTGTGACTAAACGAGAGCCATGAATAAAGGCCATTAGTGAGTAGGTCTGATGGATGGCAAGCGAGGAAGAGAAGAACATCACCGATCTCGATGGCCAGAGTTCTTCACGAAGATCTTCAGCAGTAAATTCTTTACGAAATCCTTAGAATTGAAAAGTGAGAAAAGTCAGCGTTTTTCGGCTGTCGCTCCTAGAAGTGGACGCAAAATGATAGGATCAAGTAGATAACGGGAAAGAGATCTCGTGAGTTTCAGAAGTTAAGGTTCAGTAACACGCTGGTATTCATTCTGTATAAAACTGAATATTCATATCTTCTTCAGTTTTTAATTGCAAAACCCTTGTTTATAGTTTTAAAGAGTAGCAAGTTTATGAACAAAAAAAAACAAAATGTGTAGGAAAAAAACAGATACCATTTTCTATACTGATTAGTGGTTTTTTGGCCGACTTTTCCAAACATTCGATAATGGTAACACAAATATAGCACTTCTATGATTGTCAACATACTTGCACCAAGAAACAGACCGAGGGCACCACCAATATCACCTGAAAAGCAAACTAGGGAGGTGAACATTGTGAAGATGCCAGCCAAGGTGGGAATTGTACCCTAAGTACGTTAACTTTTTCTTAATTAGCAGATTCGAGATTGTTAACGCTATATTTTTCCGACATTAGCTAACGATTCGAAGGATTTCGATTTCTTCAGAGGCTGAAATGGGTGAAATTGATATATAATGTATTCAATGAAGTATTCTCATAACACTAATAGAAGAACCGGTGTGGCGGTCATCACGAGGTAACACATTTTCACAAGAGATTCCCCTTTGCGGTCATTTCTCGATTTTGAAAAGTATCCAAGGCGTGTCAAGAGTTTTGCGCCCTGATATGTCAGATTCCTGTGCGAAGATACAGACTTTTGTTTCAGAATCTTCTCTGCTATACTTCTGTGTCCTACGCGTGGTTAGCAAAGTATTTCGTTTTAGTTCAGCTTTAGCACCTAGATGTTCTTCCATATGGTGACGGAGTGGTTTACCCGTATCGTCAATGTACTTATCCTCGCGCGTTTTACGATAGACCAAGAACGCTGTATCTCCGAGCTAAAATACTCACCGCATCTACCTTCTACTGCACATAGACGGTAATACAAGAAGTTTCATACTAACTAGGAACGTAGTGTGCTCCATGGAAGTTCTATCACTGCCGCAGAGTTCTTTGGGTCGTTATCAGTCGCTGCTCAGATGTTATTGCGAGGCAATTTACTTTCATGCTAATAATTCAACCGTAGAATTTGAAGGTATTGAAATTATACATCCATTCTCAAGTTTGATTCAGGAACCTTAGAAATGCGATGTTGTTAAAAGTGTTAATCCAAAACAGAAACTGTTCATAACTGCTTTTATCTTAGATATAAAAGTTATCATATGACTAGGTATACGTATAGATAGAAAACTGGCCGGGAGAAAGGCAAAGCAAAGGCTTCATTGATGTAGTGGGTAATACGTGAGCCCTCGGAAAGCGTAGTCACGGACTCAAATCTGTATTGGGTACCAGGTTTCGTAAATATCGCAGCATCATAGTGGTTATCACGCGATTATAACAATTAGTTCTTCTCTTCAGTAGTTCTCCTTTAGCAACACATCTGGTTGCTGACCGTAACGCAATGGATATCTTAAAAACAAGCTTTTATTAGCAATAACTTATCTATAATATATTTGATCAATGTCGAGATTAATAGAAAGTCGAACATGGGAATAATCAATAGTTTTCTATATGATTGAACCAATACGAGGTTGGTGTAAAAGTTTTATTCGGCTAACGCTTCGCTGCCTTCGGCTTCCTCAGAGCCGCGATGATCCGAGTCGATGGCGTCAAACTGGTTGTTGTCCCTATGCGGATATTCGCTGTCGCATCGAGTCGAAGCCTGTGGGTTTTTAAGATGTCGACTGCCACGCAACGTGCCAGCAAATGGACAACCGACTGTTGCAGGACGCATTGCCCACCCAATGTAGTGGAGACAGCAACCGATCAACATCCCTCTTGTATAAATGAGCACCATTGAGTGAAGTGAACCAGCCATTCGGTACTCCTTCCATTGGATTCCACTCGATGCGACAACGAATAGTCACACCGCGTCAGCGACCAGCTGTGGAACATTGACTCGAAATAACGCTACTTTGAGGAAGACGAGCACGCCGAAATGTTGGCCGAATAAAAGTTTTATATCAACCTCGTGTCAGTTCAATCATGTAGAAAATTACTGTAATGCAATGGTTTCAGGTAAAAGCGAAGTTCTATTTGCTTGCAATGTGGACGAATTGCTGCCAAATTTCTCATAGGGTGATAAAGACACGGAATTTGTAGATCGATGCGCCCTTGAAAGTCAGCGTAAAGACCAATTATGGATTTCACCTCTACGATAGTTAATAGAGTCACAATTGACGAATGCTTTATCCTCTGCAGTTTCTGACATAAGATTCTGACAGGGGTGGGGGGGGGGGGGGGGGGG